CTACTTATACCCACATCCAAAACCTGATTATTGTTTGATCTACATTCATTGTAATTTATTCTGAAGATTTGTTTGAATGAATACAGAAAACAATCATAAAGAAACATACAGTTAGCTCCATTTTACATATTTTAATTGAACATCATGCTTTCGTCCACTGAATGCTAAAATGATGATGAAATAAAATAAAATAAAATAAAATAAAAACTATAAAAACAAACTGTAGATAAAAAGAAAAGACTTTTAGTTTTAGAATTGGATAGTCCTACTCCTTCATAATAAACTCTTATGGGAGGAAAATAAATTTGACAAAAATGAAACTCTATTAAAGCCGGTATTACTTTTTTAGACTCAATGACTAGATTTTTCTTTTGTTATTCGGATTCAACATTTAAATAAACAGGCTGTCGAATTGTCAACTAAACAGTTATGCATCTATGTCCTTACCGTATTTATGAAATTATACAATGATTGTTATTTTTTGTTCATCCAATTATTATGGTATCACTCTTAATCGAAATAAATGTCTTGTTGTCCATTCTGTTGGTTTAATAATAATGCATTTGATAATAAATGATAAATTATATAAGTAAAGAGATCAGATATCTTATGAAGTCTAAAAAGATCATCATGCACACAGTCTTCTAGAAGTAGTTTCATGTACACTCCTTGCCATCATTTGAATAATATTTGCATATTCTGCTTCGCCTAAACTGTTTTCTTTTTCCTTTTTTTATATGGGTTGATAAAGCTTGCCGAGATGGCTACTCGAGTATCGTTTTTATTTAAAGTCTACCATTGCCTATGGCTGAAACAACTCACAAGAAACTCGAGTAACTAAACATGTAACATAGGCAATTATAAACTTCCTTTTTTTTTTTACAGAAATCGTGAAATTTTAATTGCGTCATCTTTTCAAACTTTGTGAAAACATTTATTATTTTATGATGAACAAAAATGCTGTTTCTAAATTCCAATGCTAACAATTTTTAATTATATGAACATCTTCGTTTTTTTAGCACATGTGGAGACAACGGCTTTGTCTCTTGTTCGTCTTTTTTCTTGATGTCACACTTTTCGTTACATACACTGGTTACATTGTTCGTTTCACATTTTTGCTTCTCTAACATAGTGTATCATTCTATGTGCGTAAAATAGTACACATTTCGCTGACCTCTCTCATATGTTTTATTTTTTTTGTGTTTGAAATTTTTGTGCAAGTTAGAGATGTGCATTGCTCATATGAACGGTCCGCATTTGTCTTTATTCGTCTATGTTCATTGGGCGTACGTGCCTTTATCATATTAGTTTGACAAACTCGTTCTTTATAAGATACCGTTCATTTTACTACTTTATTTTAATACTGATTTGTTAAATTTATAAAGCAAATCGTAAGCAATGTTGATTAAAAATTACCTTAATAGAAAATTAACCTAATCAAAAACTTAGTGAATTTTATTGTGATGAGTACAATATTGAAAGTCATCTTTAATTAAAGTTAATGCCTATTTAATTGTAACATGAGCTAAGATTGAAACAATTGTTCTTGATACGCAAAAAAATATTCAAAAATGAAACACTATTCCTAGGCACTACCTCCATATTGTTTTATAGGTACTCTGTACATCCGTGTTACAAATAAATACCAAATTTTCAAACATGATTAAATATTGTCAATAAATCTGTCACAATGAAAAGAAAATACTGATAGTTATGCATGATATATGCATACAAACAAATATCAATCATCAACATTTTAGCTCTCTATCCTTGTTGGTTGTACGAACTGTAATTGATAGAAGTATCTATCATGATCTTACAGGCAAGAAATAATGTCTTACGTTTTTCGATCATGCTACTTTAATCATTATGAACTTGCTTGCTGTGCAAAATTTGCGCTGAAATAGACATGTACTTTTTAAAAGTACATGGTATGTATTTTTTAAAAGTACATGGTATGTATTGCGAATATACTTTTTTTTTTAGTTATTTTTCATATTTGATTTTTATATAAAAAACATTGCTTTGCTTTTTTCTTTATTGATTTCAATCGTCTTACTAGCCTCCAATGAAAACAATTCAATCAATGTCTAATCCAATGAGAAGCCATGAAAATCTTTCTATCTTTTGCGTTGTTCATTTTTCACTGCTCCCAAAGGACTTGCATTTCCATTACAAACGATGAGAACTAAATGATTGTACGAAAATTTAGATCAATTCGTTCATTTAAAATATAAAATGCATTCGATCAAATTGTTTCTAAGATGAATTTTAGTATTCAATAAATTAGTTGCTTCATATTACTTCATTTCTCCAATCTTATTATATTCTGTTGATCATTTTTTCACACTTGTTATTGTTGTCATTATGCCATTCTTTTTCATCAAGTCAGAAGTCATGAATGTTAACTATTAATATTTTTTAGATTGATATAAATGAAACCCTATAGATTTCCATTTAAAAACAAACATCAATTGTTTGTTGATTCTTTTATGTTGACTTTTCATTTGTCAAATGCTAATCAAATGATCTGCAGATTGTTTTTTTAAATTTTTTGATTCCTCTATTCCTTCTGCAACTGCGTCTCTAAATAGAGAAAGGGAGTTCATTGAAAGTTTCTATTATTCCTTCTCATTACTCATTTCACAGATGTATAAAAAGCTCTGTTCGAGCATTATTTATTACTTGTTTTTTTGACTTTCATATGGGTAAGAAACAATCTATTTCATGAATATTGAAATTTTTCGAATATAAAACTTCTTCTTGGGCTATAATTTATGTTTGACTATGACTTCGAGTTAGTCGAAGACTAATTATTTAGTTCGGTAGTTTTTATGTTCTAGATGAAACATGTGTTTCACACTTATTAAGTTAAGAAGCTAAGTTTTCATTTTTCTAAAATAGTTTCTTCATCACATACACGCTTCGTTTTGCAAAGAATTTTACAACATGCATTCTTGTTTTTCTTTTTTAAACATCTTTAATTCGATATTTTCAATTCCATATCGATAACTGATACACGATACAACTTATGAGAAATCTAAGAACTTATAGAAACACTTTATTTCAGATTTTCATTCATAAAAAAAACTACAAAAAAGGATATCAATGATTATTTTACTTCTATTTATATCGATTCATTCGATTAATATTCATGCAAGTCATTTCAATGGAGGTACTATTACTTGGGCACCTATTGATCCTTATGCTAATTCTTCTTCAGTTGTCATAACTATTACACAAAGTTATTCATGGACTTATCCTACTGTGTCCTGTACAACAAATGTTCCAGTCTCAAGTGGTAAAACAAATGCAAATCTTACATGCATCGCTAATTGTTCAACTGATGGTGGCTATTCAAGTGCACCTATCGAAATTCTAACTGATTGTACTTCTTATAGTTCTACATTAGGCACAGTATCAAGTGAACGATCAGTCAATATTACACTTAATACTGGTGCATATTTTTATATAGCATATACAGGAAGTGCTTGGAGAAATTTGTATGCTACTTCAACAAGTGGTCTTGATTGGTCTATTGTATCTTTAATTGATCTTCGCTTACGATCTGATGGTATAATTAATACTCCACCAGTAGCAGATGTTCTTTCACCTCAATATGTTATTGTAAATACAACAACTCTCATTGATATACCTACATCAGATATCAATACAGGTGATGATGTACGCTGTCGATGGGCAGTCGATAAAAGTAATGAATCAATTAATGAATGTAGTAATATATGTTATCCAGGTGGTTTACCAAATGATACAACTCTATCCAATTGTACTATTTCATTTACAGGACTAGTAGCTAATAAATGCTATCCTATTGCTTTACAGGTATTTATCAATAGAAATATTAGAATTTTAAAATAATTTGATATTTTATAAAGGTAGAAGATTTTATCAATGAAACAAGTACGGAACCAATGAGTTCAGTACCAGTTCAGATTTTAATTTGTGTTGAACCAACACCATCATGTACAATATTGCCTACCATTGTTTCTATGACAGATTGTTTAGAAGTTCAAGTTGGTGTAACAACAAATTTTACTCTATATGTAACAAATTTATGCAATTCCAGTGCAACAATCACTGAAGTTATTATATCAAAAAAAATTTCTGGTATGACAGCTGGTAATGTGAAAAATTCGACAACCAATACATTATCATATATACAATTAACTTGGACACCACAATCTAGTCAAATTGGAACACAAGTCATGTGTGCATATGCATATAATAGGTAAAACTTTTATCGTTTTGCTATTCGTTGTTTATCATATATGTTACTTTTGTACTTATAAGTTTATTGGTACGTTCAACACAATATTGTGTAACATTCACAGTCACAACATCATCTCCAAGTTGTCCGACAACAACGTAAGTTTTAGTCTACTACTCAGAACTAATCTAGAGATTCGTTGTTTCACTTGTAGGATTGCTGCAGTTTCAACAACAATAGTAACAACAACAAATAAAAATAATAATGGCACGAATATTGCACTGATTGTTGGTTTATCATTGTTAGGATTATCACTAGCATTATGTTGTTGTTGTTGTTGGCTATATCACTTTTTCTGGTATGTTAATCTTTCTAACAGCTGATTTAAAAATTACATTCATTAGAAACAAAATATCATTGAATTTGTTTCTTTTTGATAGGGGTGCTGCAGGAAGACGTCGTCGAGGAGGAAAACAACCAGAAGAAAGGATTCGACAACAAAAATATTCACAGATGCTACCATCTTTCATTACTCGAACTCTTTTATTCAAGAAATTGAACAACAATTATTTATTTCGCCAGCTGTCAAACAATCAAGATAGTACAGGTAGTCTTCGTTTAAGTGCACCAACATCATTCTTAAGCACATCCAAAAATCAAGTATCTTTTGCTACCAGTGAAAATGATAGAAACTATAATATAGATCAATCATTTGTCAATGAAAGTATTCGTCAAAATGCATCATACCATCATAACACAAGTGTTACTAAAGTTCCTCGAAACAAAGTATCAGCGATTTCCAATACTACACAACTCAATGATAATCAAACAAAAGATAAACGTAATACTATTAATACAACTATTAGTACAATTGGAAATATAGCTATTGAAGATGCGAATGCATCAAAATCTTATAATGAACCTATACATGTTGTTAAACTAAATGGAGATGAAACATCATCCATTCGAAAATCTCAAATAATCAAAGTGAATTCTTCTGCAGCTGAAAGCCGACGACGAAGTCGTTCGATCAATGTACGCATTGGTAGTCAACCAATCACAGGAACACACTCATCAAAAACTAGTTCTGTTACTGTTGCTCGAGTGAGAAGTTTCTCTCACAACAATAAATCAAGAAAAAGTAATGGAATGACTATGTTCCCTGACGATGATGGAAAACATACAAATAAGAAAAAAAATGCTACTTCAGTTGCACATCGAAAGTCAAAAACTCGATCACATAAATCAAAACATCGAAAAATTAATGTCCATGTCATGAATTAAATCTTTCATTTCTACTTGAACTTTATATATAACTCTTACATTAATTTTTTTATTTTAAGGATTATCTGTGTGCTTCTACGAATATATATATATACTAATTTGAGTAACTCACATGAAAACATAGCCAGATGTTCTAGGGATTCTTTCCTTCATCACTTGGCCACAGGTAAACATAGATGAGACATGAAATGAACCCATTTCCTCAAATCATTGTTCTCGAAATATCGAAGTTTGAAGAAAATTTCTTGATAGCAGTCAAAGTTGTAAGAAGAATCGTGTTTTAAAATTTCGATCAAAAGTTTCCGAACAAGAAGATGCTAACTATACCACGTTGCATGCAAAATTTTCGATATTTTGAACGATGTCTCTGTAAGATATGAATTTTTCAGTATATAGACACTTTTCTTGGATATTGTAGAAGGAATGAATATTTTAGAAAAATTCTTATCTTACAGATAGTGCATTCTCAAAAACCTGAAGTTCTGTTCAAAATCTAGTTTAGCTAATGGTTTTTTATATATCCAAAGTTGGATATAGAATTTTACTGGCAATCTTGAATCTTATCAAGAAAGTTTCTTAAAACTTCGATATCTCAACAACGATAATTTTAGGATATGACTTTTTTTTTAGATGTTTCATACCTTATCTATACCTACTTATAGCTAAATGATTGAACCAAAACAACTTCAATGCATGAGTATATGCACTCATCTGTTTGTTATGAAAAGAGAGTGTGGGTGTGGGGTGTAGGTGTGACCTTGGTTGTATGTAAATATAAATGGAGAGGAAAATAATATCCAGATCCACACTCTGTAGAAGATGATTGCTGTGTTCAGTCCTTTATTTCTTCACTTTTGAGTCACTTTACAAGACTCAATAACATTTGCTAATCAGTAAAATATTAGACTGTATCTCCTGGTAATTTTGGAAAAATATGGACAAAGTATTAAATATATATTGTATTCTTACATTGCAATGCCTTCCTTTGTATTGCATCAGTTTCAAAATGAATGGAACAAATGATGAAATCGATGATTCATCTGACACCTGTATTGCAACATCCGAAGAAAAGCATAATTTTTTTTGTGATCTGAGAAAAATGAAAGCAATACTTCGATAGAGAATGAAGTATGAGTAAAAAAAGAGTCGAATACACCGGCCGGGAGTTGAACCCGGATCACTCGCGTGTCACACGAGTATTCTACCGCTAAACTACCAGTGCTCGTTCTTGTCACTTAGAAAATCTTTCAAATTAAACAATTTGATTCAATGATCTCTGAAATAATCAAGCAGTATGTATGACAATCACTCGATTCATGTATTTTAACATCTAATTATCGCTGGAATGCTGTAATTTAAGAACGTATCGAAACAAATAATTATACTAGAGCTATCCATTTCAAAATATCGTAAGGTCGACAAATTTTTGAACAGTTTGATAGGAATTCTAGAAATTTTTGGTTTTCCAGATTCGGAAGAGGGTGTGGGTGTGGGTTTTGTTCTCTTCTGAACCCACACCCACACCCGGAATCGAAAAACAAATATTACCATTCCACTCAGCATCAGAGATGGGACCGGTTCGGTTTTTAACCGAACCGAACCGACTGACCGTAACCGAAATCGGTTCGATTCGAGATTTTTAAAAAATTCGGTCGGTTACGTTCGGTTCGGTTAGGGATTTTTTCGGTTACGATCGGTTCGGTTAGAAATTTTAAAAAAATCGGTCGGTTACGTTCGGTTCGGTTAGAAAGAATCGACATAATCTTTTGATTTGAGTTCGATGGACTTTTTGAGACATAAGAAGAAAAAAGTGTAATCGTACAACAATTAGCTGTTGTTCGTAACTCGTATTATCTCACATGTTTTTTAAATTTGTTGTGAGAGGTAAGAAAGTTATAATATAGTAAGAGGATTCAATAAATAATCTTTCTTCGTTACTTTCTCTAGATGTTGATTGCTCATAGTTGCTACTGTCCGATTTGTTGTTGCTAATTTATAAAGCACTAATACCCTAATTAACATAAGCTAAACTTCGCTTTCTCTAAACTCGGTTCGATTACGAAATTTTTGAAATTCGGTCGGTTACGGTCGGTTCGGTTAGAAATTTTTAAATATTCGGTCGGTTACATTCGGTTCGGTTAGAGATTTTTTCGGTTCCGGTCGGTTCGGTTAGAAATTTTAAAAAATTCGGTCGGTTACGTTCGGTTCCGTTAGAGATTTTTTCGGTTACGGTCGGTTCGGTTTGGCAAAAATGCCAACCGATCCCACCTCTGTTAATTATTCTATAATTAATCTTGTTTTCCTTGAATGTTTGAAATAAAGTCTAAATAAACCGATGTTGCTGAGAAATTTAATTACAATTTAAGTTTTGTTTCAAATCTAGGTATATTTTCTTTTATTAACAAGAATAGTCAAAGAGAAAAGAAATAAGTCTACTCTTCTTATCTCATCATTATTTACTTATATTTATATCATTCTTTTATGTTTCTTTTTCATATCTATTTCATTTTAAAGATATGTCATTAATACATGATATAATAATAATTGGTGGTGGTATTGTAGGATTAGGAGTTTTTCGTCAATTGACATTGAATGGTTATAAAGATGTTTTATTATTAGATAAATCTTCACAAATATTAACTGGTGCAAGTTCTGGTAATAGTGGAATATTACATACAGGATTTGATACAATACCAGAAACTTTAGAATCAAAATTAGTCAAACGTGGATATGAATTGTACCAATCGTTTGCTCAAGATATCAAATTACCAATTAAAAAGATTGGTGCTTATATTATTGCATGGAAATCAGATGAATTAGAAACATTAAAACAAATTCTTGATACTGCACATAAAGTAAATGATTTCATTATTTGTTTTATTAATTTTATCATTTAGATGGGCGCAATACACTTTTCTAGTAAAAACAAAGACGCTTTGATCAGACATGAAATAATTCTATTTCAAAATCGAAAAAAGAATAGACAGTCGATGAGATTGCCCAGTGTTGTGAGAAACTATAAAGAAGTATTCGATTAGTTGAAATTTGTTTAACTTATTTTCAAGCAAGTGAAGTTTTTGAAAAACAAAACTGATACATAAAAAGTTTCAATTTGTTTATCACGAAAATTTAAGCTCTTAGATATCAAATTTTTCTAATTGCATATTCTTTATTTGCCAACATGTTTTTCTTTCTACTGATTTCAATGGAAAAACAAGATTCCCTTATATTTTATAATTTTCTTAAAATATTTTTATTCTCTTATAGAATGGTGTGACTGATATAGAAGAGATATCACCTACTACTTTATATGAACGTGAACCTCATTTACGTGCTAATGCTTTAAATGCTCTCTATATTCCAGGTGAATGTATAGTTGATCCACTTACATTACCTTTAATTTTATATATGCAAAGTAAACTATTAGGTGGATATGTACAAATGAATACAGAAATAATCAATGGTAAATATGATTTAGAAAAAAAATATTGGCTATTAAATGATGGACAATTTAAAAGTAGAATAGTTATTAACTGTGCTGGTTTATATGGTGATTATATTGAACAAATTCGTATCAATCAACAAGTTTCTTCAAAATCAACATTTACTATTCAACCACGTATAGGACAGTTTTCAGTTTATTCATCATCTATATCTGAATTGCCTATAAAATCAATTATTTTACCATTACCAACAAAATTTACTAAAGGTATAATTATATATCCAAATTTATTTAATCAAATCATTATTGGACCAACAGCTGAAACACAACATGATCGATCTCAAGCACCAATTAAATCTGATATAAATAATATATTATATAATAAAATCAATGAATTGATACCAACACTTTCAAAATTAAATTATCAACATATTGGATCATATACAGGAATACGACCAGCTACAGAATATTCTGATTATCAAATACATTCATATAATGATTTACAATGGATATGTTGTGGTGGAATACGTTCAACAGGATTATCATCATCATTAGCAATAGGAGAATATATATGTAATAAATTAAATGAAATGATTAATATCAAACATGAAATTGTTTGTGAAGGATATTCATCGGAAAGATACTATCAATCATTAGAACAATTAAAATCAATGTTTATTTTGACATTAAATGGATTACAACCGAATTTAATTGTAAATGAATCAAAAGTTTTACCAACAATAACAGGTGATATAAAATTAGGTGATAATATGAAATCATTAAATTTAAAAATAGATTGTGCTGGTGAAATTTTTGATATTTCACATTCGTTACTAAAATTAGCATGGATAACAAAACGCTTAGAATAAATCATTCTTTTTGTATTCTAAAGATGAACTTTTTATTAATTTAAAATAAAATTTTAGTGATTACTACAGTTCTTCAAAAAAAATAAATTATATTTAGTAGTGGAAATGTTTCGGCATAATCGACCACAGTCTAGATGCTACAAAAGAGAGTCTCAAAAGTTTGCACAGAAAAGTTTATGTCAATAACTCTTATGCAGATGAAATGATTGAATTACAATACAGAATGCGTTAAAGGAATCTAAATGATGAATGTTACTTATAAAATAAATTTTGTAAGACATTCACTGATGATTGATGAAACAAAAGCGCCGAGAAAGTTGTTACGTTTGTGTTGAGCATACTATCAATTGGTATTGTCGTATTGAACGATGGCAGAGAATAGAAGAAAAACAAAACACATGGAAGAAAATTGAACAAGAAAATAATCATAAAGGATAGAGCCAACAGTTCTTTTGATTCTGTAATAAACCTAAATCATTAATCACTTAGAGAAAATTATGTTTTGAGCCTCTCAAATAGCAACTTTATGGATGATATGACGAAAACTTAATTAAGATGATAAGCGAAGCTTTTGGCGCAATATATGTCAGTGTGGATGTATTCGTATAGATGACAAAAAACCACACTCACATCCTACACCCATACCCTATTTAGATAGTTCGAATAAAAGAAAAAAAAGACAGAGAGTG